GGACATCACGTTTCTCTCCTGTCCTTCAGAAGACGCGCTGCTACAATCTCGCACCTCTCGATCAAAGTTCGCAAACAGTCGTTGACTCGAAACGCATTTCTGCATTGCCCGCTGTCGAGCGCATCGATCCGGCACTGGACCAGGGCAGCGCTGGACCCTCCCGGCCGCGTCACGCAGAAGTTGGTTTTATATTCTTCGTCGCAAATATATACATGGAGCTTCCGCAAGCCGCTCCGGCCGAGTGTGCCAGCCATATCTCTCGCGAGCCCCTACGACAGGATAGGGCCTACGCGAGGCACGACTTACCTACACCTTACGGGAGCTGTCACCTCCCTACGGTGGGCGTATCCTCGCCGAGCTACCAGTCCACAGTACGAAAGCTAATCAGTTGCAATCGCAGAGGTGGACCAGCCGAGGGCGTTTCTCGTTCGCTGTAGCATAGGGGGTACGCGCGGTAATACGTCTCTTATCGGACCCGCACGCGAACCGATATCTTGGGGGCTGAGGTCCCAAGCGTGGCTCGTCGTCGGTCGACTAGGACGCATCCCACACACCGCGCGCACACCACTTTACGAAGACAAAAATAAAACGCACACATACACACGAAACGATACAACACAATCAACGCGACAACGCTCCTAGCCCCTCGGTAGCCAACCCATAACTTTTCAGTGCGGAAATCAAATCGGCGTCGCGTGCGAGACTTAGTATAAAACCGCGCGGACGCAGGACCTACTCATATCGACTCGCAATGCAGGCGTACGCAAGCAGTCCCAATGATGGCGTACTATGTAGTGCCCATAATCAAGTGGTCCCTCGTGGATCCGAGTACCGCTTATGATACTCAAGTGTCAGACTCGAAGTGTCGTGAGGGTCTAATCCCTCACGACATTGCACGACTGAAGGAATAGCCGTGCAGCCGCCGCGAGACCTCCGGCCTTTGGCCTGAGCATCTTGGTAGGCAAGGCAAATAGGCTCTGCGCGAGGGAAAACCCCTCCCCTGCAGAGCCTAGGGCTTGGGATGTCCTGGACAAGGACCTCGAATCCCGCCCGAAGACCAAACGTCCGACTAAGAAAAACCTCAAGAAGCAAGTAAAAGAAAAGGAAGGGTCTTCCCTGGGCTTCTTAGTCTTAGTCTCTGAGTATACTCTTCGTACGGGGCCCCTTAACCCATACAAACATTCATCCGAGGTACACCCATGTATACATATATAAAAGGGGGAAGCATGTGACGATCACTTCTCACAGTCTCATCGAGGTCCCTCACAGCCATACGTATATATGTGATCGCAGATAACCAAATCCAGAATCTGATTCATAACACATATCTCCAAATCACATCAACGAGTCAATCAACAGCCCACGCACTACACGAAGTCAACCCCAATCATCTTCAACACTAATACCCCTCGCTTTAGCCATGCAAGCCCCAACCTCCTGTCCAACCAACCTTAAATAAAAACTCAGTACCTTTGTTAAATGGTCATTCAATAAAAGTCCGGGTGAAACCATAATGAAACAAAGAAAA